AGGCGGGTGCAGTTTGGCACCCCTAAGGGCTGGCCTGCTCTAGGCAAACACCTAGTTCGCCTAGTGAACGAGCCAGCCCTGGATCATGTAATTAACTGTAAATTACCTGCCCCCTTAAAAACTTAAGTGCCCCCTGAACAAAGAAATCCTGGTAGGGGCTTGGCTGGGCTGCAGGCAAAGGAGGGTGGAAGATGGAACAGAGAAGGAAGGCGTAGGAGATACCGGACAGGGCAGCTGGTGGTGTGGCAACAATCTCCTCCTTGCTGATCTCCTCGCTGCATACTCAGAGTAAGAAAGAAACTCTCTGGGCTAAATTGTTCCAGCCTGTTTATTCATGTGCATAAGGGGTCATGTCCATGGGGTCGCAAAGAGTTGGACTCAACTGTGCCACTGAACAACAACAAAAAAAAATAAGGGTAAGAGCTAACACCAAGGAGCGTGCATTTCAAATAACTCCTAGCATTCCAGGGGCAGTACTCCAGCGAGACCCCTCCCCTCCCTCCCCTCCAATTCCAGCTACTGTGATGTCAATTTTACAAGCAGTCCAAGAAAATGGATCCTATATGTAACATTTTAGGGACTGGAAATCTTGTTTAAAGGGTATTCATGAGACAGGGCAAGCCAAATGGATGTGGTGAAAAGCTTGCTATTTTGCCACATGTTGAAGATATTAGTTAGCGTTTAAGCAGGACAGAGTTCTAAGGTCATCACAGCGCAGGCGGAAAGGGTGCTGACAGCCAGCATGAACAAACATTTGTCTCTCCCATCAGATCCTGAGCCAACGTGTTCTTAGGGAGCTGTTAGGAGAATACTTCTGGAATTCCACAAAGGGGATTGAGAATTCTGCTTTTGAAACACGATCTCCACTGAAGATCTAACTAGGATACACATCAAATAATCCTTCCTTCAACCTTGTGTTTCCTTCCAAATCAAATGCCACTGTTGGGATTCCAATAACCGAAAGAAGAAATTCTACACCAAATCGAGTTCGGCTCAGCAGGAGTTTTGAATTTGTGCGCGATCTGCTCCAATCCCATGATTATCTATGGCAAACAGGTTTTGGGTTTTTTTGCATTATTTCAAAAACCTGCAATGTCTTTTTGATCAGGGCAGGGGTAGGGCAGCCGTTTAAATGTACAGGGGAAATTCCCAGTGGAGAGCCACTGGCAGCCAGGAGCAGCAATGCCAGAGCTTCTGTGCCAACGACAATCAAGGTCCACTGGGCAGTTGCTTCCTCTGGTGTTGCCACCATTGTAAGTGGGCACACCTTGTTGATTCTGTGTGTGCTGGTAGGAAGGCCCCCTTTAAAAAATGTTATGCACACACACAAAAAGATATATTGGACACAACTGTAACGTGTATGCAAATGAGACATTTGCATTTGAGTAAATACCGTATCTCTGTAATGGCCTTTCTTTTAGTTTTAGCATTGGTTTAGCCACAGTGTGGAGTGTATACTTTTCCCCTTCTCTTTAAAAAGTGCCGCAGCACATCAGTCTGTGTGTTTATGGAATCCCTGCACTAGGCTTTTTTTAAAAAAAGCTTTTATTTCATAGGCTTTTTCTCTGTGCTGATTAGCTGGTAGCTTCATTTCTGTTTCTCTTTCTAGTTTGCGTTCTGGTTGTAGGACAGAACAAAATCTGGTAACATGATAATACCACCTATCACCTTCTCCAAGGTGACCTTGTCTTCACTCTCAGTGCTCACATGAATCTGCCTTACATGGAGTTAAGCCGTTGGTAGGGATGCCAGCCTCCAGGTAGGACCAAGGGATCCCTCGGAATCACAGCACATCTCCACCCTACGGAGATCAGTTCCCTCAGAGGAAATGGCGGCTTTAGAGGATGGCAATCCAAGCCCTGGACTCCACTGAACGCTGTGCACATTCTACTTTTAAGTGCAGTTCCTGCAACACAGCTGGGGCAGTCCTGCCATTCGGCGAAGGAACTGAAGCAGTGTATAACCTAAAAACCCAGAAACTCCCTTTATCCAAATGCCTGTCCCAAACAAGACCTGAGCAATTATTTTGACATTAAAAGCCTCAATGGCTGCAGGTACATACTGACCTCCTTTTAAACAGGAAGACCTTAAAAGAGCTTGGGAGAGGTGTGTAGTTAATCAGCTTGAGTTTCTAAAATTGTATGAGAATCCAACAGCAGTTTCGATAGCCAAGTGAATATAGGCTTTCCAAGTGAGATTACGGCTAAGCATGACTCCCAGATATTTAAAATAAGACACCTGTTCTATCCCCAGCCTTGACAAGTCCAAGTCTTTTGTCTAAAACAAGGCTTTTTTTTTAAAAAAAAAGATCACTATTTTAGATTTATCACAGTTTACAGACAACTCCTCCTGAATACAACAATCAATAAATGCATTTAATACTTTATGACGTCCAACTTCTGATCTAGATAATAGGACCATGTCATCTGCGTAAAGCAAAAAAGGATTTCATGCCCAGCCGATATAGGTGCATGAAGTGCTTATTTTTGAAGGTAAGGAACCATATTGTTTACCTAAAGATTAAAAAGTAGAGGGGCTAGGAGGCAGCCGCTCTTCTGATCCACATTGCATTTGTGCTGTTGGATTCTCATACAAATTAAAGATTAACCAGAGAAGCCTTTTATCTATTGATGTTTTGGCCAATTTAACCCAAAGACAGCTCCTTGGGACCCATAAATGTTGCATGAAAACAGCCTCCTTGGAGAGAAGAATACTTGTCAGCTAGATGGTACAATATGAGACAATAATCAAGGGCTGAAACACCTCTTCTAGATCTTGCTTGTTTGGGATACAGTATAGATTCTGACACTACCCAATTATCTATATACTAATAGTGATGTGTGGCCCCTATCTACAGATACTTAAATCCATGGATTGGGGCTACACTTATTTGAAACAGAGTCTTTTGCAAACTTGAAGGGGGCTAGGTTTGCAAAAATATCTGAAAACTAATACATGGGGGGGGGGTTAAATCCCTTCCTAAATAATTTTTTAAAACCCTGTTGTCTGCGCATGCATAGACAATGCACTTGGTTCAGGACACCGCAGAGGTCAGGAGCCAGGGTTGTGGCGTGGGTGGGGGGAGAAGGCTCTCAGCCTCCGCTGCTGGTGTCTGGGGGGGGGGGGCAGTAAGCCCGAGCAGCCCCCCATGGTGGAGGTTGGGAGCTGCAGCCAGGCTGGGGAGGGGGGAAAGGCTTGGCAATCGGGAGTCACATGGTCTTGGCTTCTGAAACTAATGTCGGGGGTGGGAAGCCTTGGAGGTCAGGAGCTGCATGGCTCTCGGTCTCCGAAGTTGCTGTGTTGTGGGGGAGGGAAGGATTGGAGGTTGGGAGCAGGGCAGCTCTCAGTCTCCAGTGTTGGTGTTGGAAGGGGGAAGCCTAGAAGACTAGGAGGCCATGCAGCTCTCGGTCTCCGTCATTGGGGTTGGAGTGGCGAGAGACAGTGGGCTTCTTGGGGAGAGCTGGAGCTGCACTGGGCTTGCTGGCAGCTTAGGCCATGGGAGGCGGGAGAGACAGTGGGCCCGGCAGCAGTGGCCAGACCCTGCACCAAGGGGAGTCGTAGCTGAACTGGAAGTGATGGGGGGCAGGAGATGCAGTGGGCCTGGCAACGCAGATAGGGAGCTGTGCCAGGCAGTGGGAGGAGCTGAAGCTGTGCCAGGCTCACCTTCAGTGGAGGCGATGGGGGGCGGGAGCTGTGACGGGCTCTTGGGGAGCAGCAGCGGTGGAGGGGAGGAGCCACGGTTAAAAGGGGGAAAGGGTCCCCAAGTATCTCAGGTTCCCACTTGCTGTTTATATAAAGCAAGATCGGCATAACCAAAAGACAAATCTGTCTGTGGAGGAGTCTGCAGTCTAAATGTTGACATAAGTGAAGAGATGAATAAACGCTGTCTTGCAGCTGGGGATGCAGGCACAGGTGGCGATCCTAAGGACACTTTCCTGGGAGTAAACCCGACTGAGTAAAATAAGTCTTACTGTTGAGTAGATCTGCTTAGGCTTGGTCCCAAAGTCTTCATGAAAGAGGTAGGGTTTGATTTAGGTTTGAAGGAAGAGAGAGAGAAGCCATCCTGTAAGTATTTTAGGAAGTGTAAAATATATATATGGTTCAGGTGGGGTAACTGTGTTGGTCTGAAGCAGCAGAACAAAGCTTCAGCCGCACCTTTAAGACCAACAAAGCTTTATTCTGGGGAATAAGCTTTTATGTGCATGCACACTAATTCAGATACTTCTTCAGAAGAAGTGTGCATGCACACAAAAGCTTATACCTAGAATTAAACTTTGTTGGTCTTAAAGGTGCCACTGGACTCAAGCTTTGTTCTATATATATTTGGGAGAGACTTTTAAAAGAAATACGGAAGAACTGTAACCGTCTCTAGGCCATGCATTTTTATTTTATTTTTTTGCCTTCCTCCAACTCCTAGGTGTGGTTCGCCAGGTGAAGCCCATTGTCGGCCCCTTCTACGCCACCCTGAAGCTAGAAATGAACTACGTCGTGGGAGGGGTCGTCTCTCACCGCAACATTGTCAACGTCCACATCTTTGTTTCAGAATACTGGTTCTGAACACTCTTGCAACCTTGAGGCAAGCAGGAGTGCTGCAACAGGAGTTACCACCACTGCAAACTCTAAAAACTTATATACCCTTTGTATGTTTTGCAGGGGTCTTCTAAGACCAAATACCTTTCTTTTCAAACATCATATCTGGTTCATTGTTTAAATAAAGGACAAATACCAAACTATCTAAAATAGAACTAGGATGGAGCATTATCTTGCAGTCTTATTTAGTTGGGTTGTTTGGATGGTATCAATAAACCGATCGGCCAGTTGCCTGACCTCCTACTTCTAAGAGTCTTCCAGAATCCCTTGAGACAGGAGGCTGCATGCAAAATTTTGCCGTCTCAGAGTCTTGCCTGTCTTCATCTGTAATGTCTCTGTCTTTCAGAACACCTTGCTTGTCTATGTGGTTAACTTTTCTGCTATAAAGATCAGAAAGTCACTTAAGGCCCCGGTCACACGGGAGGATTTGCCCCGCGAAACGGACGGGTTGAGGGTGCATCAAATGGGCGCGATCATACCGCAACATCTGGGAAGCGTCACACACCCGTCCCCGATCCGTCCCTTTGGCCCAAAAATGCGCATTGAAAAGGTCTTGGCAAGGCCCCGGTCACACGGGAGGATTTGCCCCGCGAAACGGACGGGTTGAGGGTGCATCAAATGGGCGCGATCATACCGCAACATCTGGGAAGCGTCACACACCCGTCCCCGATCCGTCCCTTTGGCCCGAAAACGCACATTGAAAAGGTCTCGGCAACAGAGCACTACCTTCTGGATGATGTGCGGCAACTCCAGGCATCTGATCGGGGAAGCGCCGGTAGCCCGTCGCAGCCAGCGCCGTTCCCCATCCCATGCATGCGCACAAATGTGCAACATCCGTTTTGCCCTGCTACGTCTGATCGCCTGCCGAAGGCCGGAGCACGGAGCCACGTCGGATCGCGCTACCGTGGTTCTTTTTGCTCCGGCTCTAATTTGCCTCCCTTCAGCGGCGCAGTATCCCGCTTGTGTGACCGGGACCTAACTCTCCTGAACAATTTGGGATCATAAGGCATATGTTAAACTTTTGCTCCTTTGCTACTTTATAATCTGTGTATTCTCCTACAATAAGAGGGTTGGTTGTTTTATGGAGTTTCAAGTGCCCTTCTGTAAGGATCTTTTTAAAATTATAAGTATTTAATTAAAAGGATATTTGAAAAGCCCCAGTTAAAGTGACTATGGAATGTGAAATTACTTACATCCAACCTTGGAGTCTAAATGAAGCCATCCAGTGCTTTTTATGAGGAGGTCTTACTAATTGAGTGGTCTGTTTCCAATGAGCTCCATGGCTCATTTGGCATTTCCAAGGGGACTTTGGACTTTCCAAAACAGCAGTCCCTCTTGCCACATGGCAAACCTCTTTCAAAAGCAGTTTGAGAATGTGCTGTTTCGGGGGGGGGGGGATGTAAAATACTCTACTGGACTTTCCAGAGCTTTGGCATCATTCTTATTTGTACCTCCAGGCAGTCTGCAGTTGGAAAGGGCATGCATAACCCCCCCATACTAGACATCATTCAAAATAATTGCAAGCTCCAAATGCCATCCCTGTATGGCTGTAGACCATAAAGACAAACACAGTCACCAAGTGAACTTGGCTTGAGCAAAAAGGCCTTGAAGACACTTGTGAGAGGCTGAGCTCCTGACTGGATCACCTTGGTGGGTTTTGTTGAAATTCGTCTTGCAGGGCAGTCTGTGAGCCAGTCCTGCTGTGGAAATAAGTAGCAAATACCGAAACTGACTGTATCTGATCAATTGTCAGGGAAGAGGCAGGGTATCCCCCAGGGTCATGAAAGAGATCAAGTTTTCCAAAATGGAATGACTTGCAGTTGGTCCTGTATGAGCAGTCAGATACATCCTTTGTTTTATTTTGGTCCTGGTCACACGAGCGAGATAATCCGGGGTAGGGGGAGGCTTTTTGCCCCAGAGCAAAATGAAGCGTGGTAGCACGATCAGACGTTTCTCCAAGGCTCCGTGCTCAGGCCGTCAGCCGCCGATCACACATTGATGGTGAATTGTGGCAAAGAAGGGAGGGGGGAGAAAGAAGTGGCATGGCGCGATCACACATGGGGCGATCGCAACCCGATCAGACGAGCATTTTTTTAAAAAAACGGATTCCTGGAAGTGAATCCATGGAGGCCTTAAAAAAAAAAATCCAGTGTGAGATGGGACGCAGACGGGCGCCAGATGTGACGGGATACCAGCGCTTCCACGATCTGACACCCACCCATGCCCTGCGTTTTCCAGAAAATACTGCACTTGGCTGGGTATCTTTTTACTCCGCATCTTCGGCGGGGCGATACAGGTTGCCGACGGGTGCGGGACACTTGCCAGATGTTCCCGTGCCATCGCACCCGTAAAATCCGCCCTGCGTCCGTCCCTATCGCGCAGCTAAGTCTGCATGTGACCGGACCCTTTATTTATTTTTATTTACTTCATTGATATGCTGCCGTTCTTGCCAGTGGGGACCCAAAGTGGCTTACAATGTTATCCTTCATTTTATCCTTATGACTGCTCTGGGAGGTAGGTAAGGCTGAGAGTCTGTGACTGGTTCAAGATCGCCCAGCAAGCTTCCATGGCAGAGTGGGAATTCGAACCTGGGTCTTCCGGATCCTAGTTTGACGCTCTACTTGCTGTATCACACTGGCTTTCTTTACAAGACTGACACTGATTTTTCCTTTCTGTGCCTCCTGCCCTCAGTCATTAACTGACTGCAAGAACTGGTCACGTGATCAACTAGGTTAATCAGCAGACACCAAAGGCACACCGAGACATCTGTGTAATAAGTCTCAGCTCAAAATCTCAAACACAGTTTCCCCCTTATTAACTATGTGTCTTAACAATGGAAGGATTCAGCATGTGATGAGTGAGGGGCAGAGATGCAGCTACAAGATAACCAAGTAATCATATGAGAAAATGATGTGATCATACAAAGAGATACAACTACATTCATTTGTACTCATGTGAACAGTTCAATGAACCATTGGCCTCCTAAATACAACCAGTGAGCTGGACATGAACCAAACCAGTACAACTAATCGTAACTCTGTATTATAAACAATAATCTTTTTTAAAAAAAGTTCCATATTTTACATCAGAATAGTCGAATACACCAATTTTTACAAGTATGACTTCATATCAAATAAGTAAAGTTTTTTCCCCACATGCCTAGAAGGAAGCAGAGCGGGTTGGTTTTCACAGGCTGGAGACAGACAAACAATGATTGAGCTATTGTTGTTCATGGTATGTCCAGTTTGCTTTTCTTCTAACCTTCATCGCGTGTCAAACAGGCTTTGTAGGCTGTAAAACACTTTGAATCCTGCATGGCTTGTGAAAGAAAGAGGGATAAGATTCATGTGGCTAATGTGAAAGGTCCCTCAAAATCACATTGCCGCTAACTTTCTAAAAGAAGTGCCTCCAGCCTGTGCCCCTTTATTTGGACACAGAAAAGAAACAAAGAAATGGGCTTGCGGCTCTGCCCGGAGGAATCACTTTCCAGAGAAACATTTGCTCTGTATAGAAAGATACTGGGAAAGAACCCGTACTTTCAATCATTTATATTGTATGTTAAGATGCTGCAATAGAGCTCAACTGGTATGCCTGTCCTACAAAGTGAGTGAGTTGGACCCAGCCCAGTTCTTCAGTCAATCTCACCTAATTCTCCACCTTACTGCAGCCTCTGCTCCATATGGCTTTGGCCCATGCAGGTCTCATGGTCCCCAAGGTAGCGTTTTGGGTGGGCAAACGGGATCCTATCATTCCCTTTCCACTACTGGGAAACCTGGTTGGATCCAACCCTGCAGGGCTATTTTTGGGCAGGAACGCACAGGAACGGAGTTCCGGCTGGCTTCAGAGTTGGCCACGCCCACTACAGCCAAAACCTCTGTGTGCCTGGCTACAGAGGGAAGGCCTAGAGAGCAACCCCCCCCCCGTGACTCTGAGGCAGGCAGGCAGGCCGGGGGGGGGGGCTGGAAGGATCAGGGAAGCATTTAAATGCCTCCCCATGCCTTCCCCAGCCTGTCCAAGGGCCACCTTGCCTGGGCTCCCTACAGCCACGGGGCGTTCAGGCAAGCCAAGGGAAGGCATGGTGTGTGGCCTAATATGCTAATGAGCTGTGCTGTCAGAGGGTGTGGCCTATTATGCTAATGAGTTCCTGCTGGGCTTTTCCCACAAAAAAGCCCTGCAACCCTGTATCTGTTTTATACCAGTTTAAGTATCAGGGCTCCTTCATCTCCCCCTAAACCTGGAACGCAATGTAACACTCCTGCGAGTAATGAGAATTGTATGCTGGAGATCACGATCACACAGGACTACAGTTCCTATTGTTTGATGAGGAGAGTCTGTAGGCTTTTCCGCCCACTCTCATTTTCCTCGCTTCTAAGTTCCTGTTTCTTCGGGTTGTTTTTCCCCTGTTCTGCACGCATTTTGCTCCCTTTAATGGTCAATTCAATATTTTACTGGTTTATTTCCAGCATATCTGGCCTACAGATTTAAACTGCAGGGTTTTATGCTGGAATAAACTGTTATAATATCGCATCGACCACTAGAGGGAACAAAACACATGCAGAACGGAAAAAGAAACCCAAGGAAACAGGAACTTTAAAGTAAGGAAAATTAGAATGCAGAAAAACCCCAAGCCTGCAAAGTCATGTTTGTAATTGAGAAATCAATCTGAATAACGTGCAATCCTAGGATTTAAAATGGGAAAGATGATATCTCTGTTTTGCTTTGTTTTTTGTATCAAATTGTGCTAGGGTTCTCTGTCTGAAATGGGAAACCCACGCTTTTAGGAAACAGGAACATACTGCACATATCTTCACTGGAAATGGTAGACAGCAAAGGACCATATTCTGCCGCTATGTGATGTTCAGTTTAAACTCTCTTTAATAGACCGAATAGAATGGAACATCAGACTGGATAATGTGGTCCACCGATAGAATGCTTCTGTTGGTCTTGCAGGCAGTCTGTGCATGTATTCTTTGAGCATTATTTCACTTAGATATTCAGAGCTGGCAGATTAATTGTGAGTCATTGGTTTTCAGATCATAGCTTTGTTGTGATTAATGAATACACAACCAACACTACAGTACAACCATACACAGAGACACACACACACCACAATCCAGCTGTGGAGATTAATTATGGAAGTTGTATTTCACTACAGACTTGAGCTGTGTCAGGGCCATAGAAGGTAAACTATGCAATTCATTTAAAATTAGTGGTGATAAATATAAGGTTCCAAGTACATTCATGAGCATCTAACAATGCCTAAGAGCTGGAAGCCCTAGACATATCCTTTCACAGTGAAAGCCACATCTAGCAAGTTCCAGTGGGGCTCAGGTGAGCATAACTACACCACTATGCCACCCACATCAACGACACAGACAAAGTGTGCATGGATTTCTAACGATGGATTGGGGCACCTGTCTTTCAGTGTATCAAAGTGCGATCCAATCATGTAACGAAACCCCC